ACAGCATCAACCTCTTGGGTTGCAGTGAGGATTAAATGAGCAGCTGTATGCACAACTTTCAGCACATGGCTCTGGCTCACAGCAAATATGCAAATATCTGTATTATTTTTGTTACCAAGATAATGATAAAATGATTGTTGTTTCACGCCACTGTGTGATTTGTTGCATAGCAGTAGACAACTGAAATAATTACCTAACCATGAGTTCAATCTATTAGGTTTGTAACCCTTACCCAGAGAGAGGGAGGAATTCACTTATTTGCTTATATGTGAACACAACCGGTTTTGAATACTTGTTAACCTGTTAGTTAGCGGAACTGGCACATCTGTAGTAGGGCTTGAAAAAAATTGCTGTTGTTACTGATGTTTGTTGTTGTTAGGGTAGAGGTGAGAGAAGTTGACTTCTCTAAGAAATCTTTTTTATGCAAAAGGCTAATTGCTCTGTAATCTGATTCTGATGCTTTTTCTGTAGGAAGAGGTACCCACAGCATGTTACTTTTAACTAGTTGGTACACTTGCATTGTAAACCTTTAAGAAATCTGCTATGCCATCCTGCTGGCTCACACCTGTATACCCAGCACTTTGGGAGGTCGAGTGGATTCTGGCCGCAGATGGATCATGGGGCCAGGAGTTCAAGACCAGCCTGGGTGAAACCCCATCTCTACAAAAAAATAGAAAAAATTAGCCAGATGTGGTGGCACATGCCTGTAATACCAACTACTTGGGAGGCTGAAGCATGAGAATCGCTTGAACCTGGGAGGCAGAGGTTGCAGTGAGCTGGAATCATGTCACTGTACTCCAGCCTGGGTGACAGAGTAAGACTCTGTCTCAAAAAAAAAAAAAAATCTGCTATGAAAGCATCTCAACCAACTTTGTGCAGTGAATCTTGACCATTCATATGTCCCATACATTACTTTCTAGCATAACATGGGCATGGGGCAGGGGCAACATATTCTTATTTCTCATCACCTGTAGCTGAACATGAAGATTTAAAGTGGATGTATATTTAAGTAAATATATCATATATCCTGTATCTACAAACAGCAAAAGAAATACCAGCAGTTATTTTTGACTTATGACAGGAAACCTTGTTTAAAAGCTTAGGACTGTTGAGTATTGACTAGCTGGTTTCTTATTATTCCAGTTGTGCAAAATGAGTCAAGGTCAGAAGGAGAGAAAGGAAAAGTCTGCCTTGGGAGGTTAGGAGGGCACATTGTAGGAGCTGACCTGGAAAGTCACCCTGATTATATGTTTTTATGAGTTCTGGTCATTGAAGATCAGTCCCTTTCTTTGCTGTACATTACATTCAGAATATTTTGAGATGTTGGGATCAATGACTGTTGTGCTTATATGGTTTTTGACAGGGGGAGCAAATGTCAACTGGACTATTGTGTTCCCAACTCTTTTTTTTGAGACAGAGTCTCACTCTGTCACCCAGGCTGGAGTGCAGTGGCACAATCTTGGCTCACAGCAACCTCCACCTCCCGGGTTCAAGCGATTCTCCTGCTTCAGCCTCCTGAATAGCTAGGACTACAGGTACCCAACACAATGCCTGGGTAATTTTTGTATTTTTTGTAGAGAAGTGTTTCGCCACTTTGTCCAGGCTGGTCTCGAACTCGTGAGCTCAAGTGATCTGCCTTCCTCGGCCTCCCAAAGTGCTGTGATTACAGGAGTGAGCCACTACGCCTGGCCGTTGCCAACTCTTATTTGGTAAATGGGTTATCAAGAGTACCCTTCTCATCCAGTGTACATGGAATTGGTCAACAGCCAACTAACAAATCCTGTGGATAATTTTTCATTAATTGGTACAGTTCACTCATGAAACAAGTGTGTAAGCATACATAAAGTATTTCTTGAGGATTGTGTAACATCAAATGTTCATTATAAATATGCAAAGAATACCATGTTACTAAAATTGATGACTGTAATTTTATTTATCTCTTGGGAATCAGTTGAACTATTGATTCCACAGCAGATGTGTTTTGATTAAGATCATGGCAAGATATGTTTGACAGCAGTTCCAAATTATTAGAACCTATTACATAAAGTCTACAGTCATCTGAGAGTATATGTATCTGATCTTAGCTCAGTGAGATAAATCTATCAATATTTTGTTTCAAGGACTGTATTGTCAATGCTGTGTAATTACCATGTGTTATACAAAAATCACGCACCTTCCTAGATAGTTTGGAGCATGCTGTGATGTTGAATGTTTCTGTTTATGAAAATTGGGGTTAGATCTATGAATGCAGAGATGAATATGCTTCACATCTGTTTGCAACAGGCATATTATACAGATTGAATCTGCACTATTTGAAAGAGTTTAACAGTTGAAGCTTAGTTCCCCGGCTGTGAACATTGTTATTTATGGTGTTTATTATAGTTGTGGCTGTGAAAGATTCTGGAAAATCATAGAAACGTTTCCAGAAAAACTTGATTTCTTAAAAAATTGAGAATGTTTTATTTTTTTCACTTGTACGTGAAACTAAAATGTACATCTGGACTTTAACACGTGTAGAATTATTCAAGAATGATAAAAATTTAAAGAAAAACCATCATGAATATATAGTGATATTTTAAATGTGTTAAATGGAACACAGACTCAGTCAGGTTTTCATGATTTATCAGTTTTTAACTTCAAAGACTCTGGTTAGCTTGCATTTTTTAAACTAATGAGTTTATCACAGCCAGTGGGGAAAATGGTTAAAGTATATCAGCTGTAAATTGGTACAAAGCACTAAAAGGGACATTAGCCTCTAATCAGATTCTAACAGTTCATTAAATCTGCTTTTCCAGAAACGTTCTTTGTCTTTTCTCTTCTTTTGCTTGGGCCTTCCTTATAAGGAACCTTCTTGCCTTTTCATCTGGGCAGGAACTCCTCCAGGGTAGGAAGCAATATCAGCTCATCCTTCTTTGTCTACCAACCAAACAGACTACAGGGTGCTTTGTTAAGGTGGATTCCTAGAGCTGCTGCCAGACTCCGGAGAGTCAAGGGCTGGCCGGCTGCAGGAAGGCTTTCCTGAGACTGGATGGTTGTAAGCCAAGCTTGCTGCTGCCAACCACAGAAGCCAGTGACACGTTAGGATTTGAGATCCCTGCCCTATGCGAAAACAACCCACAGGCCTCCATGAAAGGATTTCAAGTTTAGAACAACTAATCTAAGCTCACCAGTAATATACTACAGTTACTTCTGCTCTAAATTATCTATTAAGATGTAAAAATCTGAATAAAAGGGACAAGTCAAAAGCAAAAATTTTTAAAAAGCATCCTGCCAATTTCGAAAATAGCAAACATTTCCAGGAAAATAATATTGACAGTAATTTGTTTTCTTCTTTTTATCACCTGATAGACTAGGTGGTACAGACTTTTTAAATACACATTAACTCCAGAGTAAATCTGCTTTTTCTTGTTGATTTCTTGGAGCAAATATTTATGATGAGAGGCTCTGTAAATTTTGTTTATTGGAACATTTTTCTTAACAAAAAGAAGAATCAGGAAATATGAGAAATAATCAGAGCTTCACTATACTGCACTCTGTTGGTATTATTTGGTAGTAAGAACATGTAATTTATAATTTGTTAAAAGGAGAATTGTTTTTATTTATTTCCTTTTTTTGAGACAGTTTCGCTCTTGTTGCCCAGGCTGCAGTGCAATGGCGTGATCTCAGCTCACTGCAACCTCCACCTCCCAGGTTCAAGCGATTCTCTCACTTCAGCCTCCGGAGTAGCTGGGATTACAGGCACCTGCTACTGCAGCCAGCTTTTGTATTTTTTAGTATTTTTAGTAGAGACAGAGTTTCACCATGTTGGCCAGGCTGGTCTCAAACTCCTGACCTCAGGTAATCCACCCTTCTCAGCCTCCCAAAGTGCTGGGATTACAGGGGTAAGCCACAGCACCCAGCCCAGTTGTTTTTAATTAACTTGCTAGTTTGTAGGAAAGCAACCATATTAACGGTGAACAACTGAAGGTTTAGAAATTATACTTATCTTTTTCACCAGGTAGGCAAAATGTTTAGAAACTGATTTTTTCTCTTAAAGACCACGTTAGTGTCCTGTGGTTTTATCCTAGAATTAAATAAAAATAACCATTCTAAAATCTCAATCAAATTTAGTTCTATCACTTTTGTAGCTGAGTCAATATGTGAGAAAGAAGTTAGCTTCTAACCATGTTTAAAAATATGAGCCTGATTTGGGCCTTACGTGAGCACTAATGTGTGACTCTGACTCCCTTCCTCGGTTTCTGACTGTAGAAAATCCCAAAGGCAGTGACAATTAGGTAGAAATTAACCTTGATTTAATCGTTTATAAATGGTGTTTGAAATGTTATTGAGCTACAATATAAATAAGATTTTCTTTTCAAGAGGTGGTGAATTGAGCAAAACGTATACCAGAATAAAGACCAAATAACTGTTTGTTATTTAGTTCAGCCTAAAAATTCACTCTTAGTCTAAGATTTATGTTGGTTGTTTTTAAAGCAGATATTTGGAGGTCAAAAGGTAGAAATTTTTATTTGACCAGAATTCCCATGACATAAAAATTGAATGTATAGAATTATCTTGATTTAAAATGATTTAATGAGACTTTATAAATTTTTATGTGATTTTCTCTTTTATGGATATCTTTGCACAATACAATTTCCAGAACTGAGGGAAGGGAAAAACTTGCCTTCTATATCCTTCCACTATTGTGAAAGTGTGATGAATTGTTGCAGTCCCATATAAATTAATGTAAGGTTTCCATACTCCAGTTTATTACAGTCTGACCTCCAACCCAGAGGTCAGAAAATCAGACTGATTAATTCAACTGCTTGGTCATTATTTCAAATGAAAGTTCAGAGTGGGGGGGGGGGGATAATTTGTTATGCTATTCTCATTAATTATTCTTTATTGTTTAAAAAATTAGGTTAGCACTACTAAATGTACTACAGTGAGGGAAGACTCTCCCAGAGGTCCTCTTCTGAATGCTTTAGAGCTGAATCTTTCTCTCTCCCCTTTATTCTCAGAATATCAACACCTTTGAGAACAGAATGTTAATGCTTGATGGGATGCCGGCAGTCAGAGTCAAAACAGAGCTTTTGGAATCTGAACAAGGGGTAAGCACAAGTTTCCAGCAATGCCCCACTCCTTTTGATGATAGTGGCATTCTTTTGCAAGCATCCTGAGGTTTGTAGAACATCTCTGTGGTTTTCCTTGCCTGAGCTTTTCTCTCTCAGGCTAAAGAAAAAAAATCTGAGATTGTGGTTGATGTGTACCCCGTTGCAACTTCAACCATTACTTCCTTGGAAGGGATAGTGTCCTAAAATTTGGAAGGCATAGTGACATATTAAGAACCATATGGTTACATCTAAATTGGTAAATGATTTGAAAAGCTAATAAAAATCCAAAGCAAAGAGGAAGTATTAAAAAATAAGATGGTAATATAACCTCAGTGTCATCGTAGTTTGGTTGATTCCAATCAGGAAATGACAAAGTGCAGCTATGAGTTACATTTGCTCAGTGTTATATTTGCTGGATGGGTTTCTCTTCTGACATTTGTACTTGCCCTTTCTTACTCTGGGAGTACTGAGGGATAGTTGATGAGGTCAGTGAATTTGAAAAATTCCTAAAAGCAAAAGAAAGATTATTTAACAATACATAGCCAAACCAATGAATTAATTTATGGGTACTGAAAATGTAAAGACTATGAGTGCATCCTTTTTTAAATGGCATAGATTTTATAATGAACATTTATGCCTTCACTGGTTTAGTTAAGAACACAAGGGCAGTATAATTGGTTGCAGCATTGGCAACTTTATTTAAGGGAGAAAACACTGCTCATGGGGCTTGATGCCCACTGGTTACCTATCTTATTAAACCACCACCACTGAGGCAGTACAGGTGACTGACAGAAAGACATACATACATATATAATCTTTATCAGTGTCTCTCATTAAAAATCAAAACTAAAAATTAGCAATGTTTTATACTTGAACACTCAAAAGAAATGTTAAATGTGAATAAAATCTCACTGTTAGTGTATAAAAATCAAGGTGGATAGTACATCCAGGATCCCACTCAAAGGGTTAGGATATTGATGTCCCAAAAGTATTTCATAATGAGGACATCCAAGGTTATGGATCCATATGGTAGTATTTAGAGGGTCTCTTTGATAACTTCTACATACCTGAGCATTATGTAGTGGGGTGTGTGGCATCTCAATGTAATTTCTTTTTTTCAGTGTAAGCCTGTGTTGAACAGAGCCTCATTATGGTAGAGGATATCATTTCACCTCTATGTACTGTGTTGACTTTTGTAGCTCTGAAATGAACTTTGTGGAGCGTGTCAACCAATAACTTGACTCCACAGTCATACAGACGATATGATGACCAACTCATGTAGATTCAGCCCAAGACATAGGCAATAGAGGATCATGAAAGAGAAGACTGGCAATTACTAACATTGGTTCAGTAGAGACAATCTTTCAGAAAAAGTCATGTGTTCAACTGGATTTTCTAGCTGGATTCACTAACTTAAAGTATATATATATTCCAAACCTTATAGATAGTTTTAATCTTTATTGATTAATCTAACCATGGGGAGGATTTGTCTTAGTTCTTTAGAGTTCTGTTTTCTTAATTCATTTCTTAATCTAGATGCATTATCATGAGTTTAATAAAATAAATTTCTGCACAACTGTTATAGAGCTGAGCATCTCATTCAGAAAGGATAGCATTTTCCCAATGCTCATGGGAAAATAAAAGTGAAAAAGCAGTCTATATTTCACAGTTATTTCTTCTACTTCTTCAAATAACAGACATCTATTCAAATTACATATGTTGGGGGAAGGCAAAAACTGCAGAAAACCTGTCAGAAACTTTGCCCCAGACCAATGGTCAAAGCCAGGATCGTGGGTTGCTGTCACCAGTCCTGGTAATCTTTAACAATATCCAGTTACTTTCTTCCCCATAATTTTTTGACTTCAAGGTAAGGTATACGTGAAAGATTTAGATGTACAAAAACCAAAAGCCAGTATTCCCAGCAGTTTTGCAGTGTGAATAAGAAACCCATGTGACATTATTTATAAAAAGCATTTTTTTGTCTTTAGATAGGGACATGAAAAGTTGTGGGTTCATAGGTATTGCTTAATGCCTATTCATGAAAATCAATTCATCTCCTTGTGAATGGAGCTGATGTTGGTATTTTAACTCTTATTTAGGTTGTGCATGTTGGAGGGAAATAGGAACTTCATTTTTTTTCCTTTGAGTTTATGTGTACTTCTTAAATACATGACAGATATCATATCATTCTTTCATAGCAAAGCTTCAAGAGAATCAGACTGTAGTGTTTAATGAAATATATAATGATTTAACTCTATTAGAATACACAAATTTTAACAATTTTATAATGCTTTAAATCAATTCTTCTTTAAAACAAATCTAGAATTTTAGTGACTTTCATTTTTGGCCACTTTACTGGGTTTTTCATTGGAGAAGATGCGGTGGGTGTTATATACAATATAATGTTCAGAATCTTATAACTATTTTTAGATAAGGAGAGCTAGGATTTTGAATATTTCATGACTTCTTCCTCATTTATGATTTAAAGGCTGGTTGAAGTTTAATTCTTCGTAAGAAAAAACATATTAATGAAATTTCAATAAATAATTACAATCACATGTGCAATTATGGGCATTTATTTATTTATCTACTTTTATGACATGGGGTCTCGCTTGCTGTGTTGCCCTAGCTGGACTCAAACTGTTGGATTCAAGTCATCCTTCTGCATAAGCCCCTCAAGTAGCTGGGATTACAGACATATGCCACCATGCCCAGCTGATTATGGACTTTTGAAAAAGATGAGACATGTTAGTTAACAATGAACAAAAAGTGATAGAAACTTGCCCGTGTCACAGCAATTAATAACAAAGCTTGAAGAAAGCCTGAAGGTGGTACATTAGTTGGAATGTATAATCACTCTGAAAAACATAGTTTTGGTACTCTGTTTTTAAGAAATAGATACTAATCTCAATCTTTTGGTAGAGAAAAGCTGGTATTTCTTTCAGGTGCATGCAGCATTTTAAAGATATGCTACTTTACATGCCCATCTGTTTCACCAGGAAGGCATGTAGTTGTTCTCTGCTGCGTGTTACAAAGAGTCATTTAGGTCTTCTGCTGTCAGTGGGGCTCTACGTGTCTCTCTCCCCACCCCTCCAAGGGTTCAGGACCTAAGGAGCATATTTCAGAGGTTAAAGACAGGCTGGGAATAGGCCTGTGTCTCTTCTCTAAAAAGTTCTGGTTGCCTTGCCTCATTCTCTTAAGGAGATTTATGCTGTGTGTATGTGGTCATTTGACTTCAATCAGAGTATAAACTCCTAGAGGACAAGGACTATGTCTTATATTTCTGGTTTGTATCTCTTATAGTTTCTGGCACATGGGAAATATATTATGTATTGAACTTGTCTCAGCATTATAATTAGCATGGCGAAAAATAGAAAACCAGTCAATAGATAATTGTTAGCCTGCTCTGTGTCATAGGGTTATTGTAAACATAAAAAGCAAAATTGTAAATATTGGAAATAGGCATTTTCATTGGTGACAGGGGTCCTCATCTTGCAGACATGTGAACCGGATAGACATGGTAGCATATGGGCACCACCTCTGTGTGCCTTCTGTTTGGAGTTCTCTGACTCTTGCATTTTTATGTAAGTGAAAGCTGGGTAGATGATTATTGCAGTCATCTGAAATGTGACTTCAGTTTTCTTCTTGCTTGTCAGTAACACAGCACATGCTACTGGGCAGCCTCTAGGAAGGGCATGTGTTCTTGTGATACACCTCAGGGGCACAGCGAGGAGTGTTTGAATGACTTTGTGACTTTGGTGCGTGTGCCCTGCCACTACAAAAGCTTCCCAAATTCTGTCAGCCTTTGGATGTTCTAACATGTTATTAAGCAAAGGACTGAAGCAAGAAGAAGAGTATCAGAACTGTTATAGCCAGACATAAGGCAGTATGTAGAAGATACTGGCCCAAAGATATACAACATGATTTTATTCCTGGTCCTGCAGTTTACCAGCTTGAATGACACTGGGAAGTTATTTTCTATCTCCAGGCCTCTGTGTCCTCATCCGTACAGTGGAAGTGCTGGAAATGAGGCCTGCCCTCTCAGGTGAAGTCTGCCATTCTGTGATCCTGGTGAGAAGCAAGAGGTGAGAGAGAGCCTATTTATGCATTTTAGAGTCTTACTGCAGTGAAGCTTCCTGTATATGGAAGTGTAAATGCACAGACTTCAAAATGAGAAAGACCTGAGTTTAGGTGATACTCAGCATGGTACCAGCTGTGTGGGTCACGCTTAGGCTTCATTCTCTAATCCTACTCACCTGGAAAATGGAGTTGACCACCCATCCTCACAGGAGCCTGCCTGCCTTTGGTGGGTGCTGAGTCGATGTTCTCCTTTTAAAGAAAAACAGGAGAAAAAGGCCCTATTACTTTTTTTATGTTGCTTCAATCCTCATAAAGTATATAATAGAGATTTCAACATCTATGTTAGTTCATAATTCTCCAAGTAGATACAAGGTAGATCTCAAATTAGAACTCTTATTTTTTTTATTTGAATTTTTATTTCAGCATATCTGGAAGAATGTTTCAAATTCTAATTAGAGTTTATTACATGAAATAATGGAACACAAAAATAATGCTAATAACAGACTAAAAAATAACAGAATAATGGAACCAAAAAATTAAAAAACTTTTTTCTGCCTAATTCTGTGTATTTGAAATTCTTTAAAGTAAAATGTTTTGAGAAAAAAAGAGATGAGCTCTCTAAATATAACTATTTTTGAAAACTACATAGGTGCAGAGGACTGAGGGAGACCTGAAAGCAGCATTTCTTAGTCACCCTCACTGTTTATTTCCTAAGTTTGAGGAATCTGCTGTGGGGAAGGAGCTGACCTGAGTTTCTTCACTAACTGCAAGGGTGTTGAAGCCATTGGTTATCCTGCCTCTCTGCTCTCCTGTACAACCAGGTCCAGTTCTGATCTGTGGGCCGGTAGAGAAGAGTGGCAATAGTGTGGCAGAAACAGGGAAAGAGATTGGGTGTTTTGCTGGTTTTAAGTGCTCTA